TTAAATGGCATTTAAATATATGAAATAAATATCAAAAATACAAGTCTTGGTTTTACTATGGTTGAAAATATCAAAAAATTTTTATATGTGATATGGCACCAGAGTTAAGTTAGGATTTTTCAAAATGCTGACACGCCAAACTCAAAAGGTTCGCCATGACTGCCCTAGGAGCTGTATCATTGAAGATATTGCTTCGGCATATGTCTGAGATTTTGCTGCATCTGTATTCATCTAGTGAACTTACAGAAAGAGAGATTAAAAAAACAATCCCATTTACCATCACACCAAAAAAATTAAGATGCCTAGGAATAAATTTAACTAAGGAGGTAAAAGACCTATATTCAGAAAACTACAGGAAACTGAAAAAAGAGATAGATGAAGACATAAACAGATGGAAGTACATAAGGTGTTCATGGATTGGTAGAATCAACATCATTAAAGTGTCCATACTACCCAAAGCAATCTATAGATTCAATGCATTCCCCATTAAAATACCAATGGCATATTTCACAGACCTAGAGAGAACTCTCCAAAAATTCATCTGGAATAAAAATAGACCCCGAATAGCTGCAGTAATCCTGAGAAAGAAGAACAAAGTAGGAGGGATCTCAATACCAGATATCAAGCTGTATTACAAAGACACTGTTCTCAAAACTGTCCAGTACTGGCACAATAACAGACATATAGACCAATGGAATAGAATAAAGAACCCAGAAATGAACCCAAACCACTATGCTCAGTTAATATTTGAAAAAGGAGGCAAGAACATTCAATGGAGTCAAGACAGTCTCTTCAATAAATGGTGCTGGGAAAATTGGACAGATATATGCAAAAAAATGAAACTAGACCACCAACTTACACCATACACAAAAATAAACTCAAAATGGATAAAGGACTTAAATGTAAGACAGGAAACCATAAAAATACTAGAGGAATCCACAGGCAGCAGAGAGGTATGTTCTTGCACCATTTTTCCTCAGAGGATGCTGAGGTGCAGGGAGGTTGAGAATACTGCTCAGTGGCTCACGGGAGGGAAGGGGAGAACAGAGTTGGGATTCACATCAGCACCAACTGAACCCACACCCCAGAGCCCTTCCATGTTACCATGAAGACTCCATGATGAGAAGGAGAAGACTGGGTGCAAGTTAAGTAGGCTGTGGTCTGTTCCTTACCAGCTCTGTCACCATGACCCAATGATGACCCTTTGGCATTATTTCCAAAGAATTCCAAATGTCAGGTAATAAATAGAGACCAGCTCAGACCACAATGGAATTGCAGAGTTAGTGGTAATGAGGCTTTACGTAATCCTGTACTCCACATCTCTCTGAAAAAGCACTTTATGGGATCTGTAGAACAAGAGAGAGTCTTGGAAATAACAATTTTCAAGTGATAGAGAAGGGGCAGAGAGAACTATAACAACACCTGAGGTCACAGAGAAAGTGGCATCTTCGGCTGCTGTTGCAGGCCTCTCTCCATAGCGTTTTTCTCCCTCTGTATGTGTCTTTGTCTTAATATCCTCTTCTTATATGGATGCCAGTAATGTAGGATTAGGGCCCACCCTAATGACCCCATTTTACCTAAATTACATTTTTACATTCTGAGATACTTACTGGGGGTCAGGACTTCAACATATGGATTGGGGAGGACCCATAACAATACATCTGTTTCTATCTATATATCTATATCTATGTCTATATCCATGTCTATATCTATGTGTACATACAAATCATCATTTGTGGGGCTTATTTGAACCTGAAATAGTAATAGTGAGAACTGCTCCAAATCCTATAGTGTGACAGTGAAAGCATACATATTCCAAATCCAATTTCCCCAGCTTAATTAGCATGTGGCCCGTTAGCACAAACCTATTAGGAATGAGCATTCTCACAGTCAACTATTATCTAATTTCCGGGCTCCTGAGACCTACTGCTCCATTAATGTTGGAAGGGTGAGCACAGCTGGGGTAAGTCACCATGCTGCTGGCTGGCTGTCAGAAAGCCCTTGTGGAGTCAGATCTGAAAAGGTGCACCGTGGGCAGCAAGAAAGGGGCTTGTGCTGTGAGCATTCCTCGGGCCTCCGTTACTGGACTCTCTTTGAGACACAGAGGCTGGAACGAACACCTGTCTCTACACAAGAGGTGCAGACGCGAATGTGGGACAGTTACTCCTTTTAAGTGTTCAGGCTGTGTGAAACTAGAAAGGGCAGAATTTTCTTTCTTCCTTTCTTTTTTTTTAAGGAATCATGTTTATCCAAGAATTTGGCATATTCCCACACTCTTGCTTCCTTCCTTCCTCCCCCCACCCCCCTTATCTCTCTTGCTCAATTATTTATTGAGTGAGGGCCTGCTGTGCATGAGGCACTCTGTTAGGTCCTGTGGGAGATAAAGAGATGACTCAGTGGGGCTCTGCCATGCATGCTTTAATTCTGATAACCTGTTCCCTGTTCTGCTTTTGGTTATGTGTGCTGGCCTTGCTCTGCTAATTCTTGGCAAACTTAAAAGCCACTTCGGTGAACAGCGTCAAAGCTTCTGAACCCTTGACATTCCCCTCCTCCCTGTAGAATTGACAGCACCTCCTGTCCCCCAGCCACTGGCTCCTGACCCCTCTGGCCCTGTGATGATCACTGTGCTCATCTTGCCTCCCAGGCTGCTTTATTTTGTCCTTTTTATGAGCCATTCCTTCTGATTCCTCCCACTTCTTCCTCCTCTCACTGTGACTTTTTTCCTGATCCACACTGATCATTTCCAATGAGCCAACTTAGTGTGAAAGAAGAAAGGGTCTAGTGATCTGCTTCCTCTTTGCCCACTGTTACTTATTCTAGGGAACAAAGATACTGCTTGAAGAACTCCTTCCTTAGAGTTGAGGGTAAAAACCAGGCTTCCTAGGTTCATTTGTTCCTTGCTAAAGCCCTCACCCCATCCTAAAGTTACTTCCCAGCCACTGAACATGAGGCAGTATGTTATTTTTTTTTTTCAAGTAAGAGTGGGAAGGGCATGGAGTGTAAAGAATGAGATTTCACAATGAGATTAAACCTTATGTGCAGGTTATAAAATGTTAAAATTCATACCTGAGATAGAATTCAAAGCAGGCACAGGTTCTACTTGAAAATTTAATTCTTACAACTTAATTTGGCTGGGAAGAACTTGATGTTTTTTTTTATCATATAGACACCGCTGGAGTGTGTGTTCTCCCTACGCTGCCAACCCCTGGGAGACAGCCTCCCTCCTCCCCTGCTAATCAAATTCATGCCCCCCCCCAGTAAAGTCCTACCCCTCTCTGAGGGCTACCTGGGCAGCCATGAACTCCCTGAGGTCCAGCCTCTGTAAGTCATCTTTGCACCTCAGTTACAAAGTCAGATACTTAGTAGGTTCTCAATAGAAGTGAGGGAAATCAAGAAATGAGACTTTCTCCCCTGCTAAATAAACCCAGGGTGTTTAGTGTCTGCACAACTCATTCAAAAACTAACGTGCCTCCCACATTGTTAATGAGCCCCTTTGAGAAGTCAAGGGGGGAAAGGGAGACATATGTAATACTTTAAAGAATAAAGAATTTAAATTAAAAAAAAAAGATGGAATGCTTTGTCCTTTCCACCCAGATTGCCAATTCCTTGGGGAGAAGGGCAGTGTTCATTTTTCTCTCCGTATTCCTCTTCACTGCCCAGTGCAGGGATGACTCAAAAATATTGTTGATTTGAACCCTGTTCCTTGTTGCTTGACAGCAGTGTCTGTTGGGAACCATGCTTCGAAAACCGATTTTGCAGAAGCCACAATTTTGTTGTAAATACATCTATGCTGGGGTCCAACCCCAGCGGGTCCACGGGTCCCCAAAGGTGTGGACGGAGTCGGTGGAGAAGGAATGACACGGAGACAGCGTTCAGTTGATCAGCAGCCTTGCCAGGATCTCTAGCCACAATCTCCAGCTAAGTTCTGTGTCCATGTTCTCTTGCTAGGTTCTCCAGCCACGTTCTCCAGGTTCTCCAGCCAGGTTCTGTAGCCATGTTCTCTTGCTAGGTTCTCCAGCCAGGTTCGGTCTAA